CAACAGAGCAGGTGAGTGGCACAGAAAGGGCAGAATCCCAGAAAGCAGGATGTCTCCAAGGGCAGGAATTCTGTGACTATCAGATGAGGGAGTGGGGGCTCTCACCCAGCCGCTTTTTGAAGGCTTGTTCTAGGGTCCATTGTGTGACTGAAACATTAACTGCGACATTCAAAGAGGTCTCTGTGCATTAAAAAAGATGTAGAAGGGGCGAGAGACACCTGAAAAGATGCTCAACTTCACTCATCCTCAGGGAAATGCAAATCAAAGCCACAATGAGATAGTACCTCCACCTGTCAGGGTGGCTAAAATCAAAAATATAAGAAACAACAAGTGTTGGTGAGGATGTGCAGAAAAAGGAACCCTCAGGCACTGTTGGTGGGAATGCAAACTGGTGCAGCCGCTCTGGAAAACAGTGTGGAGCTTCCTCAAATAATTAAAAATAGAACTACCCTATGACCCAGCAATAGCACGGCTGGGAATTTACCCAAAGAATACGGAAACACTAATTCGAAAGGATAGGTGCACCCCTATGCTTATGTGATTTACAGTAGCCAAATTATGGAAGCAGCCCAAGGGTTCGCCTATTGATGAATGGATAATTACTCAGCCATAACAAAGAAGGAAATCTTGCCATTTGTAACGACATGGATGGACTTTGAGGGTATAATGTTAAGTGAAAGAAGTCAGTCAGAGACAGACAAATACCATGATTTCGCTTCTATGTGGACTTTAAGAAACAAAACAGACAAACAAGGAGAAAAAGAGACAAACCAAAACACAGACTCTTAACTACAGAGAACAAACTGATGGTTACCAGAGGGGAGGAGGGTGGGGGGATTAAAGAACACACTTACCAGATGAGCCCTGGGTAATGTAGAGAATTATTGAATTGTTGTACACCTGAAACTAATGTGACATTCTATGTGAACTATACTGGGATGTAAAATTTTTTAAATGAGAAAAAAAAAAAAAAGATCTGGAAGGATCTAAGCAAAGCCCTTAGCACTGGCTACAGGAGGGAGGCTTAAAAAAAAAAATTCCAGGGGCGCCTGGGTGGCGCAGTCGGTTAAGCGTCCGACTTCAGCCAGGTCACGATCTTGCGGTCCGTGAGTTCAAGCCCCGCGTCGGGCTCTGGGCTGATGGATCAGAGCCTGGAGCCTGTTTCTGATTCTCTGTCTCCCTCTCTCTCTGACCCTCCCCCGTTCATGCTCTGTCTCTCTCTGTCCCAAAAATAAATAAACGTTGAAAAAAAAAATTAAAAAAAAAAAAAGAGTTATGGGATCCTGTGAAAGAATCCCATAGGAAAAAAAAAAAAAATTCCATTTACTTTTGCACTGTTCGAGTTTTGTGCAGTGAGAAAGAGTTAATTCCTTGTGAAATACTAGAAAGAAAAAGTGATTTGCCCATAAGAGGCCCTCAGTAGATGGGCGTTACTATTATTCTTTACAAGGAAGACAGACAGACTTCTCAGCAAGCACAGAGGTGCCCAGGAGGGGAAGGCAGTCCCGCCCGGCCTGCTTTCCTCACACAATGCCGCTGGGCCTTCTATGAGGCTCACTGGCTCTACCTTCAAAGTGTATCCTGAACCCATTCATACTGTCCTCATCACCCAGCCACCGGCTGTGCTCATCCCCCGTTAGACACAACGGTGGTCTCCCTGTTGCTGCCCTTCCCCCTCCGACTCACTCTGCCCAGCAGCTGAGTGAGGTTCCTTAAAAACCCCAGCCGGGTAGGGGCGCCTGGGTGGCTCAGTCTGTTGAGCGTCTGGCTGCGGCTCAGGTCATGATGTTGCAGTTTGTGGGTTCGAGCCAGCTCGGAGCCTGGAGCCTGTTTCAGATTCTGTGTCTCCCTCTCTCTCTGCTCCTCCCCCGCTCATGCTCTGTCTCTCTCTCTCTCTCTCTCTCTCCTTCAAAAATAAATAAAAACATTAAAAAAAACCCAGCCGGTCGCTGATGCTTACCAAGCAAGCAGTTCCCATGTGCCAGACTCCATGATAAACCGGTCCCTCTAGCTCAGTTAATCCTTTAACGACACTGGGAATTCGGTACAAGACAGGATTTCCACCTTACAGAGGCGGAAACAGAGGCACAGAGCATTCAGTAGTTTGCCCCAAGTTCGTGGCGTCACGGGTGCACCTTCTGACCCCTGCCTGCCTCTCCAGCCTTGACCCCCACCCCCTCCTCCTTGCCCCTACTCCCTGGCCCCCTGGCTGCTCCTCCACCTGGAACGTTCTTTCCCCCATCTTCAAACGACCTGTGCTCTCATATCACTCGGGTCCCTGTTTGAATGCCGCCTTCTCCGAAAGAGCTCAGAAGTTCCCCCAGGGAACCCAGAACCAAGGCCTTACCCATTTCAATCCCGCAGATGACCAGGGCCGCAATCACTGCCCCCGCCGACGTCCCGGCAAAGCGATGGGTCGTTTCCAGCATCCGGGGGGCCAAGTCTCGAAGGGCATCCACGGCCCCGGCCTGGTAGAAGGAGAGAAATCCACTGCCGGAGAAGGAGATGGAATGAGGAGTGTCTGGGTCCCCCTTGAACACCTGTTCTTCCATCTCCTTGGCCCCTCAGTGCTTGCCTCTGGCTGCTGTCCTACTGGAACTCAGGGCCAAGCTTCCCTGCCGGCCCGGAGCCTAGAGTGGGGCCGTCTCTCCCGGGTCGGCTGGGACACTCACGGGCGGCTCAGGCAGCCACCGCCTGGGCTTGTCGGGCTCCTCCGGGAGGCAGTCCCAAAGGCTGGTACAAGGTCTCGGGCCCAGGTCGAGGGGCAGAAGGCACCCCGGGTGTGCGAGCGGCGTCCTGGACCTCCGAGCGCGCCTCTGGCCTCATTGTGTGGCTAGGTTCATCTCTGGCATAGACTCCTCAGCCCTTGTCCCGTGCTGCGTTCAGCTAGCAGACCGGCAACTGCCACCAGGGCCATCCCAAAGAGGCAGGCACTGCTCAGCTGTCAGCCCAGGAGGCTTCACACACTGAGTTGCAAAACCTCCACTGATGGTTATCATAGGGTGTCTCTGACACGCTGCGGCAGCAAAGGAATTATGTGTTGGCCTCCCTCCAAGAGGATGGTGTCCCCTCCCCGACAGGGGCAGGGCCGGCAGGTTGGCTATGGTCTTTGAGGGGGACCCACTCACTCCACCTGTGCCCCCCGACAGCATCGCCCCTCCCCAGGCTCCTTCTCCAGGCTCTACGGGCCACGCAAGGTGTGTTACACAATTGTTTTTATTTGCTCTTATGCAAGACCGTGTGTGTTTGTTCACGTGTTAGGACTGGCCATGGGCAAAATTGTAAAGGAAGAGAAGTCAGGCTTCAGGGCCCCACCCATCACTACCTCACCATCTCTCCCCACCTTTCCTCTCCAGCCCTACACTGACCCACTCACGCTCAGCACCCTCTCACCAAGCGCCGGACTTCCATGCTGTCTCCTAAGTGTACAGGAAAAAAGTCAACCTGAAATCTAGACATTCTAAGTGATGGGAGCTTCATACCGTGTGCTCTTCTGATGATAAGTTGGAGAGGGCAAAATTTAACCCCGAGAATGAACAGCCTTGGGAGGCCAGACAGGGGGGCATTGGGGTCAGGGCCGAGAGGTGTTTGGAGCCCAGAGGGCAAAGGAAGTGGTGCGTGGGGATCAAGGTTGGCTCCAGGGAGCATCGGTCATGCCCCTTCTGGAGCTGTGTAGTGTGGCCCGGAGAGGAAGGCCCTTCCTCAGCCCACAAATTTCTCTGCCTAGGATACCACAAAGCTGCAAAGTGGCAAAATCACATCTCTCCCCTCCCCCCAACCCAAGACCATACAGTGGTAGGACCAGAATTAGCATTGAGACACCAAGTCCCCCACTCGACGCTCAGCCCAGCTCCACACTCTGTTAGGATGCGATTTCAGTGCTTCCCCCTGTCCCAGGGAACCCCCACCAACAAGTGGCCCCACGGATCCACACTGGAATCCACAATGAGGGCAACACCCCGGATTCAGTTAGGAGGAAGTTTTCTCTCTTGGGTGGATAGTTCCAGATATATAATTGTCTCCTCCATCTGGGAAGGGACCTTTTGATTAACTGTGTGTTGTAACAGGGACAACGTGTGCATCTGTGAGTACAGACAGAGGGACGCGAGGCTTTACCGCTGGTGGGCAGGATGGCAGGACGTGCCAGGTGGAGTCCAACCAGCTTTCGGAACATGGAAGACCCTGCCTCCTTCCTGGGAAACCAGGTCAGCTCCACTGAGTATTCGCGCACCCAGCTCTGTGTCGGGGGCCCGGGGGACGGGAGTGTGTAGAAGCACCATCCTTGACCTCAGACACTCGCAGGCTTCTTGGGAATAAGGCAAAGCCAACGTGAAACAGCCAGAGAAGCACACACGGCAGTCTATATAATTAAGGACCAAACTGCACAGAGCTGAGATTCCTGCCAGGGAAGTTAAGATCCGAGGGTGAGTAGCGTGGGCTGGACCCACCAGAGAAGCCATGCGGTGGACCCCTGGGGTGGGGGGATTTGAAGAAACTGGAAGGAAGAGGGAAGGTATAATGGCAAGGAACAGTACAAACTCCCCGCGGAAGGCGGAATGGGCGTGATGGAGGGCAGTTACCCAGGATGAAGGGCTTTGGATCACACCGACACGAGTTGAATCCCAGTTCTGCTATTTATTTATTTTTTAATTTTTTTTATGGTTATTTATTTTTGAGAGAGAGGGAGAGACAGAGCACGAGCAAGGGAGGGGCAAAGAGAGAGGGAGACACAGAATCCGAAGCGGGATCCAGGCTCCGAGCTGTCAGCACAGAGCCCGATGCGGGGCTCGAACTCACGAACCCCAAGATCATGACCTGAGCCGAAGTCGGACACTCAGCCGACTGAGCCACCCAGGCGCCCCCTCCCAGTTCTGCTATTTACAGGGAGCGTGACCTGCGTGTGAGGTTCCTGGCCTCAGTTTTGCTCATCTGTGAAAGGGACAATAATACCTATGCTGTGGCTATAAAGGTTAAAGATACGGCTGTAAAATGCCTGGCACGTGGTACCTCTGCTATTATTAAGGGGTAGTAAGGGTGGAGGCTTCTGGAGCAGATGGACCTGGGAGATAAGATAATAGAAACGTGGGCTCTGAAGAGGGAGGCATGATCCACTCTCGACCTTCGGGAGCTGGCAGCGGGCTCGGACAGGGCAATGAGACCAGGACTGGAGGGTGGGGAAGGAGAACAACACTGTATCCTCCTAGAGATGTTGGTGGCCAGGCCAGCGCCGAAGCGGAAGGAAGACGAGGTAATGAAGCCAACGCTGCAGAGACTCTCATGACCAGGTGATTGGTTGGGTGAAGAGGGGTCACTGCTGATGCCTCGTTCTCAGCCTGGGGGTTGGGAGGGGTAGGGCGGCCTTTGCCTAACTGGAGGAGACTGGGACAGGGCAGGGGAAACTGAGTTCACTTGAAGACGTGTCTGAGAGGACAAGACGATGAGGGAGCGGGCGGGGCCCCCCCCCCCCCCCCGGCTCCAGAGAGGGGGCAGAGACCCCTGCCATTGAGGCAGGAGAGAAGGGTAAGCATTTGGAGGTTGGCACAGGGTTCCGTTGAAGAAAGACAACCTCGGGCCAGTAGTCTCCTTCCAGAATCACGTTGCCATCCCCAAGGAAGCAGGAAGCAAGACCACCTTGCTCTGCACAGGCTGCGAGGCCTCGGGAAAGCTGGGGCCCGCCATCCTTTCAAGGACGGTGCCCTGCCCTGACCTGGCCTCAGGAGCCCCCACCGCCCCGGCCTGGCTGTTGGGTCGGGGTGTCGTCTTCGCTGAGGGCACTTATCTGCCGGGGACGATGGAGGCCCTGGCAGGTGCAGCACAGCCTCTCTGCAAACGGGCAACCCAGAAAGTCAGGATAGCACACAAGGAGGCCCCGTGGGCGCTGCTAACGTGTTCCCCCAGTGCTGACCCCGGCGGACTGCTTCTCGCATCTTCTCCTGCGCCTCGGAGTCAAACCACTGGGAAGGTTCATCTTGTTTCCCCTTGTTCCGGATGTTATACTGAAAGCCCCCAGAACTCCAAGTGGACGACGTCAAGAAAGGATCCCACTGCAACATTTCTGCGCCTCATTTTTCAGGTCAGCTCATAATCCTCTCAGGTGTTTTGAACGAAGTTAGCACGGCCCATGTGACTCATCAGCCCCTGGGGCAATCACAGGCAGGAAGAGGAGACTGCTTACCGCACACAATCCCATCAAGATGACCCCAAATGAATTTATGGAAGAACCTGCAGTTCCCATTCTAGAAAATGTGTGAAGACACCCAGGACACACATTCTCGGGGAGAAAGGCAGCGGGGAGACTGAGTTAGCCTTTCACTGATGATGCCCCGCCCTCTGCTTAAATGTTGTAAAATATTTCTTTAGTGAAGAAACTTCGTTGTTTCTTGAGGCGAGAGAGTATGAAGGTCACAGCATCGCCCGTGAATAATCTTGCCAATAATGTTTAACCCGAATCTGATTAAGACTTACTTTCCAGTTTACAGTGAACGCGGAGTGTGAAGGAAAAAGCTAAGGGTGCCGGGTGAAAACAACCAGACAGATTGCAACTGTGGGCAGGGCTGGTAGATACTGTTGTTGCTCCACAACAGTCGTTCCCGGGCCACTTGTTCTTTGGCCACTTCCCTATAAAGCAGCTAAAAGCCCTGATACTTGATTTCCCGGTGCGCTGCCCACCCCCCTCCCCCACCCTTGCATCTAGAAACAATCATGAGATCCTGTTCTTGTCAATGTGAAGAAAGGGGAAATCTGCTAGTGGCTTCTAGGAAGCATTTTCCTCCTTGGTGAAGGAAGAAGGTACAGAGAGAAAGCCCCTTTGGCTCCATCCTCCATTGTTCCTGTCTGAGATGCTGCCCTGTGAGAATGTGATGTTTGGAGCTATGGCAGCCATCTTGTGCCCATCAGGGGAAACATGGTGGACACATGGATTTTATTCATTATCTATTGCTGTGTCACAAATTACCTCAAAACTTAATCTCTTAAAGTAACATTTATGATTGTACATAGCTTCTGAGGATTAGGAACCCAGAAATGGCTTATTTGAGTGGTTCTGGCCCAGGGTCTCTCATGAGGTTGTAGTTAAACTGATTCTCAGGGTTGCAGTCATTTCAAGGGTCATTGGGGTGGGAGAATCCAGTTGCAAACACACTCTCATGGTTGTTGGTAGGCATCAGTTCTTTGCTGGCTATTGATAGAAAGCTTTGATGCCTTGCCACATGGATCTCTTCAGTGGGCTGCTCACAAGATGACAGTTTGCTTTCCCCAGAGTGAGAGATGCAAGAAAGTGAGAGAGAGAGAGAGAAAGAAAGAGAACAGTGTGAACCCACGTTGGGGATTGTAGTCTTTTTATAACCTAATCTCAGAAGCGATGCCATCCTTTCTATCATATTCTATTGGCCACATTGATAACCCTGGTAAAGTGTAGGAGGGATATGAATACCAAGGTGGGAACTGTTGAGGGCCAGTCTGGAGGCCAGCTACCACACTGAGGATAGCAAAAGAGAAAGAAAGAAAAAGCCTGAGTCCGTGAGAAGATTGTTGACTGACTGTACCTATCCCCCAACCATTTTGTACTCTTTCTATTATGCCAGGTAACTGGGTATCTCAAATGTTTAAGCCACTGTTGATTTGATACTTGCTGCGAAAAACCCCATGGCTAATGCAAGGGCTATTAAATATTTCCAGTAAAATGTAAACTTGATCTTGAAAAGAACAAATAAAATATGCCATGGGTTTTTAGTAAAAACAAGAAGAAATACTTTAAGATAGTTTGTTATGATAGATGAAATCATCTCGATTTGTGAAAATTCTGAAAAATTTAAAAATTTTCAGGAAATTTTTATAATACCTTTTAGAAACTGCTTATCGACAATGACTTTTGTTAGAAGAAGTAGAATATTTTTCTCTCCGGTGTTCCTCCTGAAAATGAAGTGGGGCTCTTGCTAATTAATCAAACAGGGCTCTAACACGCATCAAACATGCATCTAACACTTTGATGCATGTGGCAGGATTTCTGGATACTTGATCGACTATAGGTGTATTCTCTGTGTGGTGCAAAGGTTCACACCTTTTCTAAAAAGTCAGCAATTTTTAAAATTAAGGCTGAGGGAGAGAGGAGAAAAATGTGACACAAGGGAGTTGGGGACAGAGCTTGCTGGCATGGTGTCACGGTGTCCTTTATATGACCTTGAGATAATTCATGCAGCCTAAATCATATCTTCCCATTATGAAATAGCTCCAACATAAAATACCAAAAATAGAAAAGCAAGTATCCAAGGACCTACCAGACATATTGAACAATCTTAACATTTCACCACATCTCAGTCAAATATTTGTTTGGTTTTCAAGAAACGAAATATCGCAGATAGAGTTGAAACCTCCTTTTGAACCCTTCCCCTCTTTCCTAATTTTATCCCCCCACCCCACTCTCCTTCCCATGGGAAACCAGGTCCCACATTGGACAGAACCTATCTCTTCCATGTTTTTATAGTTCTATCACACAAATATGATTTATAACCATGTATACTGTTGTTTCATAAATGTTTCTAAATTTCACGTAAGCAAACCCATTGATCTATTCTGCGATTTGCCATTTTCTTTTTAAAAAATTTTTTTCAACGTTTATTTATTTTTGGGACAGAGAGAGACAGAGCATGAACGGGCGAGGGGCAGAGAGAGAGGGAGACACAGAATCGGAAACAGGCTCCAGGCTCCGAGCCATCAGCCCAGAGCCCGACGCGGGGCTCGAACTCCCGGACCGCGAGATCGTGACCTGGCTGAAGTCGGACGCTTAACCGACTGCGCCACCCAGGCGCCCCAACGATTTGCCATTTTCATTCGGGTTGTGACACACGGTTCTCGTCTTTTGCATTTCACTGCTTTTGGGTAACCCATTATGGGACCGTGGGACAACATATTTATCATTCTCCTACTGACAGACATTCTGGTCATTTCCAACACTTCACCATAACAGCAATGCTGAAGTGGTCACCCTTGTGTACATCTCCCTCTGTAAGGTGTGGGAATTTTTCGGGTCTCGGTACGGGTGTATCTGAATTTATGGAGGGGACTGAGAGCCCAATGCCATTGAAAGCAGATTTCTATTACAGTGGTTCCCCATAACAGTGGCGATGCGCCCCAAGACCCCCCCCCCCAGTGGATCCCCCAAATCCTGAATAGTAGTGAGCCCTCTATGCATTATGTTTTTCCTGTATGTACGTACCTATGATAAGGTTTAACTTATAAATTAGGCACAGTAAGTAAGAGATTAACAACAACAATAATAAAACAGTTCTAACAAAATCCCATAATAAAAGTTTTGTGAATGCGGTCTCGCTCTCAAAATATCTTACTATGCTGCGCTCACCCTTCTTCCTGGGCTGGTGTGAGATGACAAGATGCCTACATGAGGAGATGCCGTGAGGAAAATGACGCAGGCGTTGTGACGCAGCGCCGGGCTACCACTGACTTTCTGGCAATACGTCAGGAGGACGGTCACCTGCTTCCGGACCGTGGTCGACCCCTGGTAACTGAAACCACAGAAAGCGAACCAGTGGTTGGGGTGGCAGGGGGACGGGGGTGGGGGGTGATGCTGCACTTACATTTCTAGAGACCAGGGCACATGCAGGCCCACCTGGGGAAGCAACGGGTTTGGTCAGGAAGCAGAGGGATAAGGGGAAGGCAGGGCCCAGAGCCTTCCCTGTGTTTTCTGCCAGAAACACAAGGCAGGTGGGAGGAAAAGCTCGGGTTGGCTAGGTTGAATAATGTCATGGGCTGTGGACCGTAGGAGTGGTCTTTAGCTGTCTGGTCCCTGGCCCTGGGTGACTAGGGCAGAGGAATATTGCCTCCTGGAGTATAGGAGCCCACGGAGGAGGTGGGTCGGAGTGTGGGCTTGCGATTGCTTGTTGGCATAGGAGAGGTGTTTCCTCGAATTGGCTAGCCCTGGGGGTTTGGGGGCGTGGACAGTCTCTCCTCAGTCTGGCCACACAAGCCAGAGCAACAAGAATATACAAAATAAGAAAATAGAGTTAATGCAGAGGGCACTTCTTCAATCGGACTATTGCTCTCTAGAATGGTTGGGCCAATTTACGTTCCCACTGAGAGTTTATAAGAGATGTAATTGCTCTGCTTCCCTTGTATTACCAGAATTTTAAAAATTGCCAATCTGAGTGATGTGAAACGCTATCTCATTGTTCACCTGACATTTTCCTGGTTCTTTGTGAGGCTGGGCATCATTTCATCCATCCCTTGGTCAATCCAGTTTCCTCTTCTTTGAATTGCTTTTTCTTAGCCTTTTTCCTTTGGAGGTGGGGGCGGTATATGTCTTTTGTCAGTAAGGAATACATGTCGGTACGAATACTAGCTAATATTAAATGCGTCGCAAATAGCCTCTCTCAGTTTGTGACTTGTAACTTAAAAAAATTTTTTTTAAGTTTATTTATTTTGAGAGAAACAGAGACAGTGCAAATGGGGGAAGGGCAGAGAGAGAGAGAGAGAGACAGAGACAGAGACAGAGAGAGAATCCCAGGCAGGTTCCTCACTGTCAGCACAGAGCCTGATGCGGGGCTCAAACTCACGACAACATGAGATCATGACCTGAGCCAAAACCAAGAGTCGGAGGCTTAACCGACTAAGCCACCCAGGCACCCCTTAATTTTTTTATGCTGTCTCTACAATACAGAAGTTTAAAATGTATCATTCTTTTTCCTTTATGATTTACGTTTTTGTGGCTTGAAGTCATAAAAATGCTTTCCCATATAAAATAGAATCTTGGTTATTTTAAATGATTTAACCATCAAGCCTAAGCTATCGATTCAGTCTCCGTCGAAAAACTACAGTCTGGTGGGCAATTTGGCACCATCTATTTTAAAATAAATACTTGTAGAAATTTATCCTACAGACATACTCACAAGAGTCCCCAAAAATATATGCACAGGGTTGTTAAATACAGCAACATTTGTAATAGCAAAAATCTAGAAGTAACTAAATATCCATCAGTGGAAAGAAAGCTAGCTAAATGAATTATGGCACAGTCATATAATGTAATTCTCTGCAGCCACAGAAAAGAATAAGGGAGATCTGGATGTGCTCATATGGAAAGTTCTCCAAGATATATTAGTAAGTAGGGAAAATGAAAATAAAAAACCAAGGATCCAAACAGTATGCTATCATTTATGTTGAAAAGAAAAAAAAAAAAAGATTCTCTGTGC